GTTTGCCCTGTCCTTGTCTGTTCCTATCCCGGACCCACACGCGTTCCCCAGGGAGAAGCTTCACTTTAGCCACAGCTGCTCTGGGGCACACTGATAACAGCAAGGAATACAGGAAGTAGGCGATGCAGGTGAAGTGTTTTACCAAGGGACACAACAACTAAGGCAGGAGCAGGGGTTCAAACCAACTTTCAATCACAGGACAAACCCCAGCTTCCTAAACCACTGTCACCCTCATTGAGAACATGCATACCTTCTGTCTTAAATCAAATGGAAGCAACTAGAGCTGAAAAAATTATTCAGATTATTCACGATTAATCGATTATTGAAATAATCAACTAATTTAGAAATCGATTAATGGAGTGTAGAGATTCTAAAACGTGTAACAGAGCAAATACTTAAGCATTTTGTGTGTAAGGATAAAAAAAGATTTTTTTGTCTGTCAATATGCTCTATCCGGAACTCAAGAGTTTTCATTTAAGTTGGTTTCATTTCATAAAAAGTCTTATTAAAGGAACCTTTTTCCTATCCAAATATTAATCTATTAATCGAAAAAATAATCGACAGATTAATTGATTTGCTATATAATCATTAGTTGCCGCCCTACAAGCAACATAGCAGTATTTGTTTAAACCTTTTCTAAACCTTTTTCCTATAACTTGAACTTAGCTTGTTTAAAATAAAGAGTTGGACATTAGCATTTCCTATTGGTAATCTAGTCTACTTTCTAAAAAAAAAAAAAAAGCCTTGAATCATTAAAACCTTTAAATCTTTAAGCTCTTTCTTAAAATTTCACCATTCTACTTTTTAGATGCCTGCAGGTAAAATATTTCTGTAAGTGCAACAACAGTACAAACTATTTAATTACTTTTTTCATAGAACTTCTTGTAGGTGCAAATAAATAGTTAAAAAATATCTCTCACAGTGGACATGCACCTACAACTTTAATTTCAGACCCCTCCATGATTTCTAAGTGGGAGAACTTGCAAAATAGCAGGGTCTTCAAATACTTATTTTCTTCACCGTACATAATTATTCATACAAATATATTACATCAGTACAAATCTGCAAGGTAGTGAGATTTGAACTGTATGACCCGAAGTTACTTTTACCTACCAATTGGAAGACTAATGCAGTTTCTTTTAGGAATCATAATATTTTAGTTCTTTATAACTTTATTTATTGGGAAGATATTTGGGGTACCTTCCAATAAGCTTTTGCATAATTCTTAATTGGCCCATTTATTTTTATTTGGGAAGCTATTTAATGATAGGCTTATTTTGTAAAACCCTTCTGCCAAAAGTTTTAACTTTCTGGATATGTTGAACAGTCGTTTTAATATTTCCACTAACTGGCTGTATTTCATAAATGTTCCACTTGTTAAGTGCACCAGTCCCCCCTGCAGCAAAACACCAGAGGCTTAAAAAAATAGGTTCTACTTAGGTTTGCAGAAATTGTCAGACTAATCTTAGTGAATGTTAATATGGAACTTTAAAGAAAGTTAAAAATGTCATTTAATTTGACAAAAAAAATGTATAGAAAGATAATTAGCAATTAATAACCTGCTTATTTTGCTAATCCTAACTGACATAAAACAGGAAATGTTTGATTTAATGTCTGTGTTACAGTCTATGGCTCCAATTATAATTTCTATAAATTTGAAATCCATTCTTCCACTAACATGTAAAAGTGTTCTAATTAACTACTTTTCAGTATCAGGTTCTAGAAACAATGACTCCATCGTTAAATTTCTGCAAAGACTGATAAACTTACTGTGCTAAAAATATAAACCCTTCCTAAACAACTGGGGAAAAGCAACAGTCTCTACAACAAACAGGAATATCTTATCTTCTAATCTTAGGAATCAGATTACCTCAGATGGCTAACCCTTCTTGCCTGATCAGTTGCAGCCAAACTGCATGAGCCAGAGAGGATACTAGAGCTGGGATATTACGTGGGTGTAGACAAAACTCAACATACTTCAAGAATTTTTCACTCCAATAATGACTCCCATGATATTTGCATGATTATATTAGCCTAAGAAAAAGTTTTTAAAAAGTACATTGAGGATGTCATCAAGTGGAGGTTTTTATAGTTTCATTACCTGCAGTATTTGTCGATTAATACCTTCATTTACTAAAACCTTGAAAAACTTAAGGCTACAAGAAACTTAAAGATAGAAAAAAATGAGGTAAACCAGCACTCGACTTTATCTATTGGATCTTTATTCTTTCTTTAACATGATCACAAAGTGAAGAGAAAATAAAAAGCTTGAAATGCTACCCAATGGAATTTTATGACTGCTGGTAAACAATCATAGCAGTGGGGTTTTAAACCAAATACTCTTCTAACTAAACCACAAATATTTGAAGGAATATTACAAATGTGAGAATTCATGATGAGAAAATACTGTATAAAACTCTGGGTAACTCCCTCAAAGTTCAAAATAGTTACATAGAGATTCAACTTAGTGCTATATGTTGCTATAAATAGTTTGGATATATTTATATCATTATTAAGTGGTTCACACATGATTAACTTGGAATGGGACAGAGGCACAGGAAAAGCTTGGAAGTGCTGAGAGGAAACAAATCAGTAACAAGCAGGTAGTGTAGTTCAACAGATTATAGAGCCGGCATCATGTAACAGGCTGTACGGAAATCAGAGCACCAGATCGGGGAGGGATCTTCTCCCAGAAACATATTTGGAATAAAAATAAAGACACATCTCATTGCTGGTGGAAAATCTTTGCATCCTGGTCCCGATTCATAGCGAATCACTTTTTCACATGTCCATGTCATGATCGCTGACACTTTGTCGCAGATACTCTTCGTAGAGCTTTTTCTAGAGAGAGGAAACTGAGTTAAAACCCGAGAGAGATCATGAAGCAGCAGGACCAGGTTAGAATCGGATACCTTTTTGGTTTTTACCACCTCCTTTATGTACTCCAGCTTTTCCTGGAGCTGCCGTTTCTGTTTGCCTGAAAGAGTCGGCCGAGTTCTAAAGAGAGAAAAGGACAAACACCTTCCTTAATAAAAGACATAAGCAAGGATGGAGAGGGAGAAGAAAACCAAACCTATTTATGTTTGACCAAACTGAAAGCACAGATGGTTCTGAGGCCTCCTACCTGAAGGAGAAGTGTGCAATGATGAGTAGGAGGAAAGAGAGAAGGACCAGTCCACCGCAGCAATAAAGCTGCTGCTCCCCGGACAGGGAGTCAAATATTTTCACCGCAGGAGTCTGTGCAACACAAAGCAATCGTGATTTCAAACTTTCAAAAAAAAAAAAACGAACGAGGATGATGATTCTGCACCTGCTTGGACACTCACCAGATAGAGTGAGAGTGCCTCCGTGCCCTGGTGGCCCAGAGCCATCTCTAACAACTCCTTGGACATTGATCCCAGCAGCAGCAGCGCCAGCAGAGCCAGCGGGATGCAGAAACCAAGCAGGGTCAGGAAGCAGCTCTTGCAGCGAGCCCGTCTGTTCTCCAAACTGCTCTGCCTGTGGGATCAAATCATCATACTCTAAAGGCATCACACAATTTATACGTATATCAAATTTTAAACCTTTTCCAAACTCAAATTTCAAATACAATTGTCAATTTTTCTTAGAAAGCTGTTGTTTCTCTTAAGTTTTTACATAATGTTAGGATTTGCCTAATTCTATTTTCTTCTTATTTATATAAAACAATTAGTAAATAAAATATCAACTAGTGGGTTTTATTAGCCTACAGCTTAGCTTTGACACCTTTATTATATTTGTGTATTAAAAAAGTAGAAAAAATAAGAAGATTCTGTGCTTTGTTTGATGCGTAAACCAGACCAGATTTTAAACCCACATTCAGCTCCTTTCCCATAATGCCCTTCCTACACTTTGGGATTTTTTTTTACTACTTTATGTCTACGATGTATGACAATATACAACTTAATCAATGTGCACCAGGTCAGGGTATGACATCAGTCTGCCTCTATAGGCATTGAAACACATTTTTAAAAAAGGAGAATTTGGACTCAGTCAAGTCTGGGGAGAAGAGAGAAACCTGGGATGTTAGATTATGGAGAGAGTTTAAGGTAAGGTTTATTATCTCACCCTTACTGTAATTACTACATAAACCAGCTGATAATTAAGGGAGAATTTGCCGCAAAAGAAATATTAAATAAGCTCAATAATTAATAGTGCACTGATAAATTGTAGGGTTATTTAGGATGTTTATGTATTAATCAAAGTTTGAGAAAAATATTCTTAATAATTCAGTGTGTCAAAGGCCACTACAAGTTCACAAAGAATGAATCTGGTTCACATTTTGTTTACAATAAGAGAACAGTGACAAAAGCTGAGGAACCATTTGCTGCCATGGTTGATGCTCTGTGTCGCCATTTGTGTACTCTGATCAAACAGGACAGAGTCTCTGTTACAGGAAATGATGCAAAGCAAGAAATCTACAGATATTTTGTTCTTGTTACCTCTACCAAGTAGGTTATGTTTGCATCAGAGTTGGTTTGTCTGGCTGCCTCCTTTAAAAATGTTTTTTTTTTAAAGTTATGGAGAGATTTTGATGAAATTTGGATCATAGCTGCACCTCATGCCATTCAATTTCTGCAAAAATGTAGATCATAGTCTGGATACTGGAGTTTTTTTTTCTAAAGATTCTCATTGGCTGGTAAATGACCTGTACCTATATAAAGAAAGGTTGTCGGTTCAAGGTCCGGCTTTCAGTGTCGTTCTGTCCTAGGGCAAATCCCTTCACTCGCATTGCCTACTGATGGTGCTCAGAAAGTCAGGTGGCACCTGTGGCTACAATCTAGCTTGCCACCATCAGTGTGTGTGAATGACTTAATGTAGCGTAAAGCTCTTAGGTCAAGTCTCCTGACTTAAAGCGCTATATAAGTACAGACCATTGACCATTTGCCAGTTCATGAGGCTCCTCTTATCCCAACTCTCTCTTATTAAAAGTTCTTGAGGTTCTTAAAGATGATTCTCGGATTCAACAGCCCTCATCTTCCATCTGTCGGCTGACGATCCCAGTATAAACCCCATCAGACTGATCTCAGTAGCCCTGATTCCCAACATAGCGTTTAGACATAAACTCTTGCATCGCCACTAAAAGATAAAGGGTGTGAAATTCATCTAAATATCCAAATCACTTTAAGCAGCACTTTACTATTTAGAAGTTTTGAATCTGGAACTTCTGGAACTTCATATTCTTTCTACAAATTTGCGAACTGTAGATGTAAAGTATAAATATTTTATTTCAATAAAACATCAACATATTCAAAACTGTATGACTGCAGGAATAACTTCAGAGTAGTTGTTTTGGGTTTTTTCCCCACCTGTCATTCATGAGTTTATCTGTGATGGCCTCACTGATGAGCTCACAGTCCTTCTCCAGAGAGTTGAGGGTATTCTGGACTGTCTGGTTGATGGTTTTCTCAATGGTACGACATACCTCCTCAATCTGGTTCACACACCGACTGGGCTGAAAACAGAAGCACAGAAAGTAATTAGTGATTCTTCATGTGCACATGGGATGTGATCAGAAATCAGAGACCTACCTTGTTAGGGTTGGGAATGTAAATGGTGGGCATGTCGAAGCCACATTTGTTGAGTCCTGGCCTTTTGCATAGCTCTTGCACAATCTGCATCATTACCCGCTAAAATACATAAAGCAGCAGTTATTACATTTTTTTAAATAGTTTCCATTAACACATCAGTGTTGTCGGAAAATTTTGATCTCTCTTCTATTAAATATTAATTTATCCTATTTACTCACTATAAAAGTTTTCACTCAGTTTCTTTCTCAAGGCCAAACAATTCTCTGCAGGATGGTGTTTGTAGACCAGACATTGCTTCTTCCCATAACAAACTAGATTCTTTCTCAAGGTTTATTCATAACATGTTACTGTTAACCAAAGTGTCTTTAATTTGTTTTGACTTTGACTACTTTTGCAGTGTTCTAAGTAAGGGGGGATGAACGCTGTCCAGATTAGAACAGAGCAGAATGCTGTGCCATAAGGGCTTCATGATGACTGTTCTCTCTTTGCAAAGATATGAATAAATGTGCCGACTGAGTGAAATCCATCAATCTCCGTTTATTTAACTAGGATGAATAGTTGAATACTTTTTTCCCACGACATCAGTCATTCAACATTTTTGAAGAGACATGCAAACCAATTGGACAGTTAGGAAACTAAACCAAAGAACTTCTGAAATATCCCTATATTTGATCAAATTCACTTCATTCATTTTGCTTTAGATGTGTTACATACATTTTCAGATAGACATTTTCTATAGATAGAAAAACCAAGCACAACATCGTGCAACAGATCCTGAGAATGCCCTTGAAAGTTTTCACACCATAGCCACATAATGGAGTGTATTACATTAGGGAATTCATGGAAGTTCTGCACAATTATCAAGCAGAATGGCAGGATAGAGAATTTTGTGGTGGAAGATATGTTCAACGGCTGTTTTTAATATTGTGCAAGCATTGGTGCCTCCTCCTTTGCAAAAGTTCTATACGCTGGAAATGCCTCCGCTTGTAATTTTGTATTTCACCTAGAGAGGGTGCAAAGTGCCAGGATGCACCTAGTCAGCAGGTAAGCTCCATTCGAAGAGGTCTCTGCTGGTGTTATCACTGCAAGTTATATTCACAAGTTGTTGACAGGTTCTCGCTGCTGCTGCAACAACTTACTACAGAATTAAACGCTCTTTACCTGTTCAGCAGAAGTTTTGCGGCTAAAGCAATCATTTTGCTCCTTCAGGGCATGCCATCTCTAAAAAAAATCTCTTAAACACAAACTAAGCCGGCTCCGTCTCGCCCAATTTCTCTCCTCTTTTCAACTAAATAAAAAAAAAGGACTTCTTTTTCGGTTTGGTTTGTCAGGATTCTTTACGGCCATTAATGCTAAAGTTTACAAAAAAGAATTAAGAAAAAAAAAGCCACAGCAGCAAACAAGAGTAGGAGTATTTCTTCGTGCTTCGGCATAATGGTTGACCACTAGCCACACAGCGTATGAGTAACGCTTGGAGCATACTAAAATAAAGTACCTAGGACATGTATGTACGCAAAATGTTTGATTGACAAATAAGTAGCCAATCCACTTTAAACAGTTGTCAAAGTGGACTGGCTATATTTTGTAGGCCACATCACTGCCAGAGAACCACAAGTGCAAAAATGCCATCCATCAATTAAGTCATTTTAGATGAATCTGGACACTTCATTTCTGAGCAATATCCTCTTTCATTCCATTAATTATGTCCGAACAAAAACAGTAAGGTTGGTTTCCTTTTCATTTATCCCCCTTTAATCCGACATCTAAACAAAATCCAGAGCAATCTACTGTTACACACTTGAATCTCTATAAAAAAAATCTATGTGTTAATTAGAGGCTTTAGGGGTTTGTTGGACAACATTAGTTGACAAAACCATCATAAAAACAAAGTAAAGCTGCAGAGGGCTCAGAGATGTAAGAACGATGAGATATTTAAAGCAGGGTTCAACGGGCAGCTGCTAGCTTAGAATAACCAGATCTGCAACTGACAGACTTGCTAACAAGTAAATAAGTCAGAAGGTAGGAGATGCAGCTGGGCTTACCTGTCTGTCTGACTCGCCACCAGCTTCATCTGCTTTGCTCAGATAAAAGCGCAGCCGGTCTCCATGTTTTTCATTCAGGCATTCTACGATGTTGAGCGTGCGCTTACACAGAGCCTGACCCATGGGGTCAAAGAAAACCAGGATGAGGTCACAAAGTTCACCTGAAAGTCAACAAAAGAACAACACAGAGAACCATAAAAATTATGTTAAATTAATTATTATTTTAAATGTAAATATCAGAATGTAATGATATCTGCCACCTTCTAAACCTTTTCTCACCCAGAAACAGAAGTGAACACATTGCACAATTGGACTAGAAAACTACAGGTTTTCATCCTTTAAGTGTTTGTTTAGAAAGAAGGAAAGAATAAGTCTTTATGGGTAAAAAAGGTTCTTTAAAGTTATTGGTCGGAAAACCCCTGAGTTTATAGTAAAGATCAATCAGTAAATCCCTCGACTTTTTGATTTTCTGAAGTATGTCACTCAGATGTTATTACTGAGCTGTTGCTTAAAATAGGAAACACAGTAACAGATGAGGTTCAAATAAGCCTGATATAGGTTTTTACAAGTCATCAATAGGTTATAAGAAGGAAAAAAACAGAATTACATATACATATACAAAAGCAAGAATGAAAGAAACAAGTTAAGAAAAATAAAAAGAAGTAAGGAAAGGATAATGGGACACAAAGAAAGGGTAAAAAAACAGGTTGGGCACAGAGATGGAAGGACAGAAAAATAAAAAAGGAAAAGGAGTGGTACAAAAAAGAAGGGAATGAAGGAAAAATGTGTGAGCAGGGAAGGACACAAAAAAGGAAATGGGAAACAAGCAGGGCAGGAAAAGAAGATAGGAATAGGGTAAGGAAATAAACAAAATAGAAAAGGATACAACAAAGCAAAGGTATTCATGTTTGGAAATGAAGAGAGAACTTACTGAAAATTTCACAGGCATGTTTTAAAATAAGCTATTTTCCATGCTTATCCAGACCTGACAAACTCTAAAATCTTACGCTGCCTTCATGTGGTCTCATAATTACGGTAAATACTAAAAAATGAGCATGAAAATAGCACATCAACACCCACCCATGTTGTAATTTTCACTAGAAAGCTGGGAAAATGTTATGACACCCGAGTTGCCGAGATGAGGTCAAAATTGACCTTTCAACATGGCGGATTGTTAAACATTCTCTTTCGGTGTGTTTATACACAATGCTTTGACATTATTACAATATTGCCATTTAAACCTGTGTTGTCTTTAAAATGACCATTGATGTTTGATTTTATCACTAGCAGTCCTTCGAGGATAGCAGCCAGTGTGGTACTGTGGGAACAATTTTCTCATTTGATCTGTAAAGTTCACCAGTGAGCAAATGAAACACTGGAACTAGGAGATTAACCTATAACTGTCTTGCCAAAGTGGCAGGTCAGAATAATCTGTGGATCAACCAGGTTCCTATAATCTACCACAATAAAAGCACTTGAAGACAATGCGCCGATAAAATCCACTTTACCAGACCACATGAAGGTTGCATATATCCATGCAAATATCACCAGTGTTGCCAATCATCGTGGAGAGCATTGTGAGGTGAAGAAAAACTTCCTACCCCTGTTTTTTGTTATATAATACAAATGTTGCATAACATTTCTGTAAGTGGCTTCTGTTATCCGTTTTAACAAAGAAGGATCCCGACAGTCAGCGACCCACCCAGCCAGAGGATCACTTCGTCCACATCAAAGGGATATTTCATATCTCCATCCACCAACCCTGGAGAGTCCACAAACGTCACCAAGCTGAACCGTTTCTGTCTTGATGTGCAGATCTCTGTGCTCAGGTACTCGGAAACACCTTGGGAAGAAAAGAAAGAAGTTGGAAATCTATGGCAGAACAGTGCAGTGATCATTATGGGTCAAATATAAAATCATCTTCTCTGTTGGAAGGCAGAGGGAGAAAAGCAAGAAGGGCATTTTCAAATGGAAAGTTCTCACCTTTAAACTGTTGCAGAGGCTTAAAATGTGGATATAGATGAAGGGTAGCGTTCCCCTAAAGGTGAAAAATAATAAACAATTATAGTACAACAAGCACAGAGTTAAAAACAAGCTTTAAATTCACACTTGTTGCTAAAAAATGACATGAATGTAGAAATAATCTGTACATGTTAATGCCTTGAAAAACGACATTCCTGCTCCGCAAAGATAATGTGCTGCTGTGCTCACCGTGAGGGACTCTCTTTTCCGCCCGCTGGTAACGAAGCTGAAGCCCTGCGTCTCGATAGCCACACCAGTGCGCTGGATGTGCTCCTCCACATACCTGGCCAAAACAAAACAAATATGTTTGCCTGAGGTTTATGAGGGGGAGTAGAAAACCAAAGAACTAAAGTTTTACACTGGAATGTTTAAGCTATTCTACATTTACTAATAAACACTATAAATGTTAGTTTATTAGTTTAGTATTTATTTATTGTAATTTTATTTTTTCCCCAGTTTTTTGTTGTCATTGCACTGTCACTAGTACAGCTGGAGCAGAGGGCTTCCATTGTGCGGCGCCCGGGGAGCAGTGTGGGGTTAAGGGGCTCATGCCCAAGGACCCAGAGTGGCAGTGGGTATCAAACTCACAACCTCAGGATTCCAAGCTCTATGCCCTAACCACTAGGCCACCACTCTCACAATTTTAACCTTGTGCTTTGAGTTTTGTTGCAATACAACTAAAGCATATTTATTTTACCCGTTAACTGTATTCCTTATGGCTTCTTCCAATAATTAGCTTCTTCTAGTACAGAGCATCTTTATGAGGACCCTTTTCTTTTTTCTCTGCTTAAAATGCAACAGACAATGGTGCATGATCCATACAGAAAAAAAATAAAATAAAACTCTGTTGAAAAACCGACACAATGACACATGAGGCCTAAACAACGAATCCGGATTACTGGCTTTGCGAGACAACTTCAGGTTCAACAGTAACTTTACGGGACTACGGCTAAGCGATTTTGCCAGAAATCAAAATTGCTATTATTTTCAACGAATATTACGATTTTAATTTTATTGCGAATTTCCTTTGAACTAAGCACAACCATGTCAATATTTTACTCCAGAGTTTCAGTTTTTCCATGACCTTGAAAGCCTGCTTGTCCAGCATCCAGTGCTGCAAGACTTTGCTGTAACATTTGCATAAAAAAGTTCTTACTTCTACTATAATGTATAGATCTAGGTGCTAGCTTCAACTCTTAGTACCCTTCCGTGCGACAGCATACCCACTTTAATCGTATTACCACCTTAAGGAGAAATTCACTGTCTTACTCTTGTCAAATATATTGCGTCTAAAATGGAGTGCCTGTGTAATTTCATTATATTGCAAATGCAATTAAGTGCCCAGCACTGTCTGGTACCATGAAGCCGGATTCATTCTTAGCGGGGCTAGTCACTCTGGTAACACACTCAGAACGGGAAATCTGCTCTGCAGCAGGCTAGCTTTTAGGAATGATCTGAATCGTAGGAAAAGCTCCACCCAGCAGCCAATCAGCTGTTCAGGAAACACTGACCTGGCTTTTCTTGGAAGATGTGGTTTAATTCAGAGGGAGGAAGAACTTTAACAAAACATCATCACAATAAAAGTACCAAAAAAAGTAAAAAAAAAACATTTAATTGACAAATTGAATAGTTTTTAACCCATTTATTTATTTTTCTTCCTCCTGTTATACATACCATCAATTTCCTATTCTGGATTTGTTTTTGTTTTTCCTGTATAAAATCCTCATACAAAACTGATAATTTATTTCTTGTTGAAATAAATTATCGTATAAAATTCGTATAAAATTGATATACGAAGCTTAAAAAATAAATAAAAAAATCATAGTATAGTCAGAAGATCCTTTGGATCACCAAGGACAATATGAGCAATACAGGTTTTCCCCGACACATGTTGGTAGTGCGACATTCACTGCATCACAGACAGTATGAATATCTGATATTATGCAACAGGCAGCTTCATGTACACCATCTGAGGGACGCTGAGCAGCTCGGGATAAATACAGTCTGTCCAGCAGCTCATCAAGTATTCGGTGCTCTGATGAAGATGATGAATAAATTCATCATCTTTCATTCCACTTGCCTGCACAGAGTATAAAAGAAGGATTGTATGCCCTCTCAGGTGAGTCAATACCTGGATTTCTGTGAGATGTTTATACTCATCTCATAAATCAGACTGTAAAATATCCAATTTGGTCAATACATATATAATTTTCCTGCTTTTAAAGGTATAGCGGAGGATTTTTTTCAAAAATCTGTGAAAATCCTCCGCATTACCTTAAGGTAACAGTATAAATGAGAGGGGTAGATATTACACTGAAACAACACCGAAGGGGGATCAATGGTAAACTGGCGGGTTAAAAATATTCACAAAAGGCACAGGTAGACGTCTGTAATGTTTCTGTAAAATGGAGCATTGATCATGTAGAGAAAGAGTCCCTATGAGACCAAAACCGAATGTTACCAACTTTTATATAAGAAGAAAGACATTGAAGAGCAGCATTTGAGGGGTTTCACTATTTTAAAAGCAGAGTAGATTCTTACCATTTATCCCAACTGAGTTCCGACAATGTGCAAAAATCAGGATGGTTTCACTCAGACTGATCACTACTTGTATTTTAATATGATACAACAAGTTGTGGCATCAGCTTCCAGCTCTATTTTAGCGCATACATTATTGAATTAAAAAAGTCCAACTAATCAGAAAAAAAATCTGTTTTTGAGTCTGTTGTATTTTGTATTTTATTGTATTGTATTTTTATCTGCTCCTGAGTCCTCTTCACTTCCAAGGGGCTCGTGAAGTAAAATGGAGTACAGTTATTGGGCTGCATGGCCCAATGTGTAACTTGCACATTAAGACAGCCAGCAATCCCCTGCACCGCTGCTTTGCATCTCTTTCATGCCGCCACAATGTTTGACTGTCCCTCACAGGAGAAATACAGCACTCTCCCTTCTCAGCTCAATGATTGTGATTGGTCTCCTGCCTTGAACCCGCCCCTTTTTACGTGCGCATTCACAGATTCATGAGCAGTTAAAGCTGGATTGAGTTAGCAAGTTGATAACCAGCTTCATGGTACCTCGCCTCATTATTACCATTGTTGTGGATTGGTTAAACTGGATAGACTGGAAGTAAAATAGCTAGGTTGATCTCGCTTTGTGGTACATAATAACATTATTTTACTATGTAATCTTGCACAAAGGTTCTAAAAACGATCCCTGAACTGTTTATGTTGTTCATTGGTCTAAATGGGGTTGTTTATTCACCAATTCTCTCTAATAAAACTCTAAATTAGGCCTGGGTAAAAAATAAATAAATAAATAAAAAAAATAAAAATAAAAAAATCGATTTAATCAATTCTGGATCGATTCCTTTACATTTTTGCATGAGATTGATTACTTTTATTGTGATGCGTGTGAAGTTCACATTCAAATGAGCAGGTGTGTGCAAATGCCGACCCAAGTAACACGCCGCTCAGCAAGCTGTACCAACTGAAGTCTGATGTCTGGAACCATGTTTGATTTAAAACGGCTGCAAATATAGCCAATAGGTTGACTGAAGACATTAACAAATGAGGGCTGACCAGGAAACACCCTGTAGTTGTTACAGACAACGCTGCAAATATGGTTTGTGCAGTGAAGTTAATGCAGCTCATGCATGTCTGCTTGCTCGATTGAGGCTTCACTTTTTCACTTTTCACAAACAAATCTGCGCTTTTGAGACAGTTTTGTTCACATCTCAAGTTTAAACTGTCTGATTTACAAGTTTGCAATTTGTGTTTAATATGACAGGAAAAAATTAAATGCATGAGTATTTTGAAACACAGTTGAACCACTTTCATAATTTTAAAAACAGATTGAATCGATTTAGAACCGTATGAATCAAAATCGAATCGATTCAGGACTTTGGCCAAAATACCCAGCCCTAGTATTTATAGAGGTCAAATCCCAAAGAGGCAGACTATCAGGTATGAGATTTCAGAAGTCCCTGCTTTACATAGAGAATTCAAATGCAAATAGATAAAAACACAGTCAACCCTTTTCAGATTTGTATTTGCTAAACTTCAGGATCATGCACTACTTTGTGTTGGTGACATTTCTGTAACATGCAGCATGTAGAGATGATGCCCATCCTCACCAGTTGATGAAGGAGCTTTTCCCAGCAGAGTGGTTGCCCATCAGCATCACTGTGATTTTCTTCCTGGGTGGAAGCAACTTCACTCCAACAGACCCAGCCACTGCAATCAGCCCTGAAGAAAAACACCAGACCACAAACTGCTGGTAAAATAATACAGGCAGAATAACCCATAACCCATGAGGCTAGGTCTAACCTTTTCATCTAAATCAAACAGCTGAGTCCTGTCAATCGAATGGGCTAACAAAGCAGAGGTTGCTAATCTGACTAGCATACATTCTAACAACTGCAACGTCACCCCAAATCCTTATTAGCGAGTTTAGCTAACACTAAGCCCCCACTCCGTTACTGGTTACTTGCAATACTTTTTTTAACCTTTAAACGTTTTATTAAATGTAGCTTAAATGCTACCAAGTGTCAATCAAGCCACGTAACCCACCGCTGTCTGCCTCCGTATATAACTGATGAATGTCCCGCAAGATGCGCTCATCAGAGGACACCCCACCGGCTATGGATTCCGCGTTAGCCGCATTTCGGCTCTTGACTTTCCCCGACATAACTGGATAGTTATGAGTTCAGAATGTTGTAATGGAAAAGAGATGAGAGGACAGCCTGTTCTCCGGTTTGAATAACCCCGGTCCACTGAAAACCGGTGATGAGACGTTCCTAAGCCACGTCGTCAGCTTTGGGCGTCTTTTTTGTCGCAAAGACTTGTGGGAAATGTAGTTTCTTTCTCAGCTTAATCACAGTACCGTTGGAAAGTGTACCTGCTCTGATCGGCTGCTGATAAACGGCAAAATTAACGAGCAAAACATCCATATTTTGTAAATAAAAACAAACTATGCTTTCCTAACGCCTTTTCTAACAAATAGAGGCATATATTTAAACATCGTAATTTCTAGATAAAAGGTATAGTGGATAAAACTCTCAGTTTTGAGTTCTGGGGTGTAAATCTTTTCCATTGTCATCACTTACCTACTTGTTTCAATTAACATTCTGCATAAAATGTATATTTACAAGCACTAATATCTACATAAATTGATTATTTGATAAGTTTTTTTATTTAAATTGTTATTTATCTATGATTTCACTGAAGACTCCTAGATGACTTGCAGAGACACATCATTTTCACTTTACCCCATATAACACAAAATCTGAAAAGAGCATGAATTCTGTATTTATCATCTTTGATGTTAGTATAATGATGTGTAAAAAATTAAGCACAAAAAAAATTTAATGTTTTAAATATTCCACTTGAGAGTATTATTGTTGCCGCCATCTGTATTACATGGAAAAAATGGTAGGGGTGGCCAAAGATTGGCTAAGGGTGGCCATGGCCATCCCTGCCCCCCCATCTAGCTCCGCCCCTGCTCACCATAGACTTCTTAGAATCAGAATCAGAACCAAGCTTATTTCCAAGTAGGTTTGCACTTACAGGGAATTTGACTTGGTTTTGATGTTAGTTCATAAGACTAGTTATCTATATATTATATTCATAGGACAAATCTATTAGGAAGATTCTGTTTATAATGGTATTCATCTCTTTGCTTATTCAGTAGAAACCCAAGTCCTGTATTTATGGAACCATTATTTATCCTGCACTTGCTGCTATTGCACTTCTGGTTGGACCTAAACTGCATTTCGTTGCCTTGTACCTGTACCTGTGTAATGACAATAAAGTTGAATCTCCCTGTGCCTTGTTGATAAGGCTGGTAGCAGATGAGAAGAAACTGTTCTTGTGGCATGAGGTTTTGGTCCTGATGGACATATGGGAATAGTTTGTGGTTTGGGTGGAAGGGATCAGACACAATCTTCCCTGCATGCCCCAGAGTCCTGGAGACATACAGATCTTGGAGAGATGGAAGATTGCAGCCAATTACAATACTATAATACTTCTCTACAGAACGGCTGACACGCTGCAGTCTGCCCTTATCCCTAGCATTGGCACCAGCGTATCAGAAGGTGATGGAGGAGGAGAGAATGGATTTAATGATGGAGGAGTAGAAGAGCACCATCATTGTCCTCGGCAGGTTGAATATTTTCAGCTGCCGCAGGAAGTATATCCTCTGCTGGGCTTTCTTGGTGAGGGAGTTTAGGTTTACTGTCTGCCTCAGAGTGTCTGTAGCTGGGTCCATAAGAGAGGAGACTCAAAACTGCAAGATCTGTCTCCCATTCTTTACCAAGAGCCCCTGAGAACCACCAGTGCTTGTGTTAGAAACCGAAGAAACAATCAGATACCTGATACAGATGGAGCTTGATTTTTAAGGGCTTTATACATGAGCAGGATCCATTTAAATGGTATACTGGATTTAACAGGGAAGCTAAAATAGGATTTCTTTTAATTTCTATCGAAAGTCCAGCATTTTGGATTAACTGAAAGCAAAGTAGGGATCAAAAAGAGAGGGAAGGATAGATGACGTATGGTGTAACCAAAACATTAACTATGTTGGTAGCAGGTAGTGGTACTCTGTAGTTGCTGGCTTTCTATGTTTTATTGGCACTAGTGGCCTTTATTTCAAAGCAGACTGACATTAAATGGGATTGTAAGAAAGGGGAGACATATGACAAAGGTCAATAGGCCTTTAAAATAGGAACTAACTGACTCACAACCCTGCTTCACAGTTGCAGCTTGGTCCTTTATGATCCAACCCAAACAGGGCTACCAGGCCATCACACTTCTAACTGCATTTCGTTGACTTCCTGATAGCAAGGAACTCCAATATTCCAGCTTTGAAATAGAAAATACTAGTATTTCAGCCTTATTTCTGGACATATCTTCATTATTCTGGGATTGATCTAGAATTAAAAGAAGGAAAGCCTAGAAATGTGTTTAATATGGGATATGAAGATATGTCCTGATCAAAAACAACACCAGTTTTTTGTTGCTGTTGTATTACAGGAGGTCAATTTAATGCCATCCAGATTAAGTATTTTGTGTAACGCTACTAAAGAGAATTTAAACTATTATTCACAAGATTTTCTTATGTCTTATTTTCCTACTTTTGTTCATAAGCTTAAAAACCACTGATGGACTCATACACACATTTATCTTATTATTAGACTCATTCGGAAAAAACAAAATGTTTAGGACTCCTTTTCTCAATAATTTAGGTTGCTGTCATTATTTGATGCTTTTCTTCAGCAGCAACAGGGAAACTGGTGAGAGTTAATGGGAAGCTGGATGGAGCTAAATCTAACAAATAGATTAGTAAGCTTCATTCCCATAACAAATGCAAAACATTTTCTCCTGAACTGCATCTCAGATTTGAAAAGGCAACTCATATTTCTTTGGATCAAAGTCATTTATCACTATTTTGCTGCTGCAGCTGTTTTTAGTTTAAGTCCCCATATTTTTATAAAATTACTTTCTTTTCCCATATTCCTCAGTGCATGGGATAGGTATCAGTTTTGATTTTTCTCAGTTCTACCCTTGTGGTGTTCACGCACACAGATCGCCTCCTATTAACCTAAATATGTCTTTTTTTTTGTAAATAAACAAAAAATTTATTTAAATACATAGCTAAACATAAATATGACATTTTTTACATTTATTTTCACATGTGAAAATTTGAAAAGGCTAGTATGCCTTTACAGTAACTATGAAGCAGTTTGGCAAAACCTAGCTAGTTGCCTTTAACAGTCCTTTGTAAGTAACTAAAGTCCTATCTGCGAAGGTCTCAGATAGTGAAGAAACAGCACAATTAATCCTTTAATCAGTAGATATCCACGGCTATGAAAAGATGAAGAAATGAATTGTTCAGCTGGGATAGAGATTCTGATTTTATTTTTATTTAGCCTTTATTCAACCAGGTGCCATTGAGATCTAAAATCTCTTTTGCAAGAGAGACCTGGACAAGAGGACAGCAGCATATAAATTACAACATATAAAGCACATTAAAAAAAAGCTTAGAAAAACACATAAATCAAAAACATATAGAACAAATTTAGAACTTTAAAACTCTGCAGAAACTGTAGGCTGTCCAAGGATCAGAGATGATAGCTTCCTTGCTTTCTTGTTAAAGGTTTTGTCAAATATGATGGAAGATCACCGATAATAGTTTTATAGATAAAATCATACCAGTGAGAGAGGCGCCGGTTAGAGAGTGAGGGCCAGTTTACTTTGTAGTAGAGATCATAATGGTGGGTAAATGGACAACAGTTGGCAATAAATCTAGGTTCCCTATGGTACACAATAACACATCTTGTAAGACAGTGAGCAGAAGCATTAATGTACATCGTATCTCCATAGTCAATAAAAGGCAAGAAGGGTTTTTTTAATACACTAAAAGAAAAACATACATTTTGCTTATCATCCTTTAGTATAAGTTGAAGAAGACAAAGTTGTTCCTGCATTTTATCTAACGCATATTGTAAACATTTAAAGGCATTAGCAGGATTAGGTGCTACACAGTAAATGACAATATCATCAGCATAAAACTTTTATTAAAAAAGGAGTTTGGAATATTCTGTCGCAGGTCATTTATGTAAAGTGTAAATAATAACCTTGAGGCACACCCCTTTTCACTTCTAACACATCTGTGAATAGGATCTCTGCATCAACAGATTGGGTTCTGCTCGTGAGAGATTTTCTAATCCATCCAAGTGTTTTTTGGGAAAAAACCAATGGCTAAGAAGCATCTGATGATAGCAGCATAATCAACACAGTCAAAGGCGTTGAAAAATCAATGAATGAAAATGTACAGCATTGTTTGTTATAAAGTCCTTCTGTTATATCAATTATTATCTTCATTTACAGTTCTATGATATTTTCTACAAATCCATGACAAAACTCTTTGTCCTTTCGGAACTTTTACTCCCCCTGCAGTTCGTGGCAGTTCTTAGCACACTCTTTGTCCTTCCAAAACTTTTATTCCCCCAGTGCAGTGAGTAAGTGGTGGGGCCACATCAGCAATGTTAAAGAATACTTCTGGCAGTGAGTAAGTGGTGGGGCCACATCAGGAATGTTAAAGAATACTTCTGGCAGTGAGTAAGTGGTGGTGCCACAGCAGCAGAACCAATGCAGGGTTCAAACTGAAAACTGCTTAAATATTAAGTCAAGCAAGTGATGTAAGAAGAGATGAGGGAAAAGAAAGTAGGCAGGCTGGATTTGTGACACCAATTAGGAAGGAGTAATATTTAATTAGTGTATCCTATAAGAATCTCTGCTTAAATCCCCACTGCAGCTGAATTCTCTATGCTTTCTTCAACTACCACTGAAGTGTAGTGCACCTATTGTATTCCTGTTAAGTGAGGGATAATACCATCCTTAAGAGAAATGAATAGTCAATAAAACCCCTAAAATTGTACACATGTTCATGCAGAGCTGTTTATTTCTGAGTTTGCTTCTGTATTTTTCCAACTCTGCCTCGATGATCCAATGCAGCAAGATCCCAAGAGCAAATGTGAGAGTCAGGTAAGAAATAGTTCAGGGGTATTGTCAAATGGAAATAGCTCAGTCAGCAAGTGATCCTATTTAGATATCAGTGAGCTTTCTTCATTTCAACTACTCCTCTTTGCCTTTCAGGGTCTATTCTATGCAAATCTCTGGTTGGTTTCCTTAATGCAAAAAAAAAATCCTTCTGAACTTCTCTGATGTCAGATCCGGAGGCATTTAAAAGCCTACCAATTAAACATTTAAATTATTTGTTATATCTACACATTTAGGGGCCTTTTTCCTACACAACCCTCTACAAAAGTGTTTTTTTTGTTGTTTTTGTTTTTTGAAGTCTGGCATGAACTTGTATTTAGCTCCAGTTAAGTCTGATACTTTAGATTCGATTCAGGCCTCGCTATAAATGGCTACAGATAGATTTTCTAGACGAGGCGATTAAAAAAGAAAAGGCCCAAAGGATTCATATTTTTCACAAAGTACTCGAGTTCTCAAGAACAGTGGCCACCACCCATTTAATGGTAAAACAAGTTAAAACCAAGCCTATTTAAACTATTATTGGAATAAACACAATATATACCTTACTTAACTACATCATAAATAAATTTAAAATAAAAAAATCACTCAAAAGGTGAAAATGGGGACGAACATGTAGGACGTCCTTATGTTCACACATCACCAAAATGATTGACAATTAGGAGGATCACTTATTTTGATTATCCACCCGGAAAAAGAACACCCTCCAATATACATTTAACCAGTGACGGCTGGCCAAAATACAGAGCCCTAGGCACCGCCCCACCCTTCCAATGACCTTGATTAAGAAATAAAAGAAAAAGCAAATAAAATTATAAAATTAAAATATTTCAAAATATGTTGATATATATTTTTTGTTATATGTTTTTGATGTATATATATTTTTTATATGTGCGAATGTTTCATCTTTAACGACGAGTAAGCTGTTCAGTTTTTTGTCAGATTGGTGACGTATTTCCAACTAAGGGCACAAAAATCGCTGCCCATTGACTCGTTAAAAGCTGTACATGTGCAGTAGCTCCTCTGCAATACAAAGGTATAGAAGAGCTCCAGGCACATGAGAGCTGTGCCCTGAGGTGACAGGAAATGTCGTCACAGTCGTAGGGCAGCTGATTGACAGGTCAAGTCACGGAAGTGAAATTCCTTAAAAAGCTTACCAAGAGACGCTGGAGGTAAAACTGTTTGGACCTGATCAGCCGAACATCAGAATTAATCAGCAGTCCAAAGACTGATGGAGACGGTTCACTCTGTCTTTTTCCAGGACCTGGTTTAGCTACAAGGCTTGGCTAACTGCATGCAGCGAGGCTACCGCTTTATTCTGCTGCTTTGACTACCTGCCTACTTTTCAAATGTCAGGGTCTGATTAAGCATTGATAAAGACAGGTAGGACTAATTTTAAACACTTTTTAGAAAAGGCAAAGAAGCATGAACAATCTGGGATTCACATGGAAATTATAATATAGTGTACTTTTTCTATTTTTTAATTTGCATAGTTGTTCTTAAATAAACACAGTCTCCAAAAATAAATTGCTTTTATGTATTCAAAATATATAAAGCTGACTAATAGCTTCTCCATTATTAAACTGGTACATTTTTTGACACAATATTGGACCATGCAAAACACAGATTTGCCTTCACAAAACTTGAGAAGTACATTTATGTACAAAAAGTAAACCTGTACATGTAATTATGTTTTCATTTTATAGAGTTTTTTGTTGTTGGCATTCATATAAATATACTGGTGTGTTAACTTAGAATAGTTTTTTGCTATACATACATTTTGAATTTGTACCCCCCCTAGAGAAAACTCCACCAGCTGCCACTGCATTAAGGTGTAACCAAAGATCATTTAAGACCTAGTAAGGAACATTTTGACCATATCTAAGGCTTGATAGGCCCTAAAAATGGGCTTCTGAGAAGCTGTGGAACAGGGCATAAAATCACAAAACAATATTCAGGTTTTTATTTGTAAGAATTCTTTGAACAAAGCATTCTTTCCCTTCCACTTCACAGTGAAATGAAAAAGCTCAAGCAGTTACTAAATGTTTTTAAGGCACAATGCATACATATTTTTTCAGACGCAATAAAAATGAAAATACTCCTTAATGTGACATTTTAAATCCTTTGCAAGGCAGTTTGTCATAGATGCACATGAACATAATACACCTTATTTAAAGATTAAAGTTGGATTGCATTTCTATTCCTTTTTTGCATTTTTTTCCTCATCATGCTGTCTGGTTAGATAGATTTTATGAATATATTAAATATTCCCATTAGGGGTCACTCTGGATGAATGGACAAGTGCTGTTCAGGCTCTGCTTTGCCTCATTGTTCGATCAGAACAGCCTTTTGTCCTTTGATTACCAGTGGGCCTTCCTCTCTCTGGCAACCAGCTCCAGGAAGTGGGAGTGGCTCGCATAGAGAGCGAAGGACGAGTCCACGTCCACCCACTGGACCTGTCCTGCGTCATCTCCAGCTTGCAGGGGCAGCTCGCTCACACTGTTTCCTGCAGAGACAGAAATATTTAGAGGGGGAATGTGCAGACATGGGGATTAGGTTGAAAAAACAAGTTGAAGATGAAAATGACCTGCTTCATCGTGAAAGTTGACGGCAACTGTCTCCATCCAGGCATTGTCAGTGTTTCTTGGGTCGTCAACATAGCCTTTGTAGACCTGAGAGCAGAAAGATAGGGTTGAACATAATCTCCAAGAGGGTTTGAATGTTGTTTGGAGGCATCCTTATATCCATATCCTGTGACATGACATAGGCCCAATTTACACTACCCTTTTAAAAGTATGTCGAGATTGGTCCAAGCATGGTAACCGAGATGACTGTTGAGTGTAATTGGCGCGCACAAATGGATCGGACCACACTAACAGAGTACTAGTTCAACAGTAGGGCCCGACGTGGTTCAGTTCTGGCTCAGTTCACAGATAACAAAGAGGGCATTAGCAGACCGCGTCATCTCCTTACAGTTAGCCTCCGTAATCATGAAATTTCAGATACTCATAAAAATAATAGCTTCCCTAGCTTGCCACACGATTTCCAGTGATGATTCTGCTTAGCAGTGTGATGAAACTCAACGTCTGTCATTGTTTCTTGCGTCTGTAAGCCCTGATTAGACTATTGTTTGTCGTATCCACTTCTCAAAAGCTGACTCTGTCAAGTAAATCCACCAAAAGCTGCCCTTTTCAGTTTTTACGGCACTAGTAGCTTTTTTTTTTATGGACAGTATGCTGAGAGGAAAGG